CCGAGAGAAGGCGTGCGGGACCGCCCTGCTGCTCGCAGCCAGAGCCCCAGCGTGCCCTCACCTGCTGACAAGCGCCCTGCCACGAAGCGGTCCAGCCACACCCCTGCCACGGACAGCCCTCGGCTGTGAGGCTCCCACACATATCCTGGGCCTGCCCCGAGTCCTCGTGCCAGCGTGAAGAGGCCCCACCCCGAGCTGGCTCAGTGGTTAGCGTCCACGCAGTCCTTGGTGCAGCCACTGGGGGCTGCTGCTCTCCCCTTTGGGGTACCGGGGCTTTCCTTGCAATGGCTTCTGGAACCCTCAGAGCTCACTCAGTGCCTGACCAAACGCAGCTTTGCTCCTCGCCCCGCTTCCTGGCCGCCTGCAGACACAGACCCTGCTGCCCGCCTTCTGCACGTGCTCTCTTGTCACTGGTCCCGTAGCTCGGACGGACCCCAGCCCCTGGTCAGCCGGACCCCACAGCTCAGCGCTGCTCCTGTTTGTCCCGGGCAGCATCTAAGACCGTGGTGAGGGCCAGAGCCTGGGGGCAGAGGACCCGGTCTGTGCCCCCGTGCACCAGCGCATAGCTGGCGGATCCTGTCCACAGGCCTGACCGCTCAGCACCTGCCCATTCCCAGGGCTGCATGGAGATAGACCGGAGACAGCATCACCCCAGCTGGCGGCGGGCTGCTCAGGACGCATCCACGTCCTCCTCCGATGCCCGGGCGTTTCTGCTGATGGAGGGCGGAGGAAGTGACCGACCACACTTGCCCCAGCTGCATCGGCCTGCATGGACACGCCCTGCTTCTCACACATTGGACGCTGTGCTGTTTGTGTGCCCCAGTTCAGGTGAGACGCGGTCTCTCCTAGTCAGAGGGCCAGCCTGGCCCTGCCACACACTGAGCGCGTGTCCCCACCCTGTTCCGTCCTCCCTGCCCCAAGTGCCCCCTCACCCAGCACCTGCAGAAGAAAGCCCCTTGGCACCCTAGGGCTGCCACTAACCCGTGAGAAACCGGCTGCTCCCCAGCACGGTGCAGAGCAGTGAGGCAAGGTCTGGGCGCGCACACGCGGTGGCTCCGTGCGCAGTGAGGCGAGGCCTGGGCCCGCACACGCGGTGGCTCCGTGCGCAGTGAGGCGAGGCCTGGGCCCGCACACGCGGTGGCTCCGTGTGCAGTGAGGCGAGGCCTGGGCGCGCACACGCGGTGGCTCCCTGTGCAGTGAGGCGAGGTCTGGGCGCGCACACGCGGTGGCTCCCTGTGCAGTGAGGCGAGGTCTGGACGCACACACGCGGTGGCTCCGTGTGCCTCGGTTTCCTTAATGACGGACGAGGAGCAGCACGCAGGACTGCAGCAGGGTGAGGCAGGGGCTGGGGGTTCGCGGCGTGTCCGTGCCTGCTTTGCCCCCTCCTGCACAGCCAGGGCCCTCGCCTTTGTGAGGAGAGAAGCCACCCTTTCCAGGGCCCCGGGTGGCATGGAAACCGCGTGGCGCTGAGACAGGAGAATCCCCTCTCCCGTGCACTGCGCCCGCGCCTCCTGCCTGGGTCCTGGGTCCCTCGCAGGCGTGCTGGTCTGCAGCGATTCACCCCCGCCCTTGCTCTCTCTCCGCCTGCTCCTCTCCGTCTGTTTCCACAGAAAGCAAGGTCCTGCCCTGAAAGCAGAGGCCCCGCGTGTGCTTCCTGGGCCGGCTCCGGCACGTGTGCTGAGGACGTCGCTGTCCCAGGCGCCTGCCGCGTCTGTGCCTGCTGCGCGGGCCCGTCTGTGACTTCGCGCGCGTGCGGGCTGTCTCCCCACGCGTCACCCTGGGAAAACTTCGCGCGCGTGCGGGCTGTCTCCCCACGCGTCACCCTGGGAAGTGGCCCGCAGAGGGAAACGGGTGTCGCTGGCAGAGCCCGGGCGCTGGGCGCGGAGCCGCGCACGGCTTGCTCTTCGCTCCGTGGATTCTTCCCAAGACCCCGTGCAGCCCCTCCCACTGCTGCGGGGCCGCTCGGCCCAGGCCCGTGAGAGCAGGCACGGGATTGCCCGCTCCCGCGGAGCTCTGGGGTCTTCCACGGCTGTCAGCAGACAGCGGTTAGCCAGCCTGTCTTCAGTGCGCAAGCCCACCCCCTTCCTAGCCCCCAGAATGAAGTGGACGCAGCAGGACGACGAGGGGGAATGGGCGTTGGCTCTCGGGTTCACTCCGCCCCCCAGAGCTGCCCCTCAGCCGAGCGAGGGCCGCGCCCGCAGAGCGAGCCGGGTCCGCGGAGCTGCCTCCAGCAGCCAGGCAGAGCTTGGGCCCCAGACATTGCTGCTGGACGATTAGCTTCGGAGGGACACACTTTCTGAAAAGCAGCCTGGTGGCTTCCCTCTCCTGAGGGCGCCTCCCCAGGCTTGCTGTGGTCCAGCAGCGCCTCCCAGCGGCCGCAGCCCTGCACTGCAGCATCTGTCGCTGGCCGAGCCCGCGAGGGGACTTGGACCCAGACCGCCTGGATGGCCAGGAGACACGGGGCGGCCGGCAACTGGAGGCAGGGCAGCGAAGTCCTGGCCTGTGGACCCAGGGTGGTGGCCACACCAGAGTTGTCAGGCAGCACAAGGTATCACGTGGTTGTAACCAAGGGGAGAGGCACCAGCCCCATGCCGGCAAGACCAGAGGCCGGCCTGCAGGTAGCGGTGCCTGTGAACAGAGGGCAGGCAGGGTGCGACAGGCGGTCACGCTGGCCCGGACCTCGGGCGCTCCGAGGCATCGCTCACCGTGCACACACACCAAGGCAGTGGCGGCGGCGGCGGCATAAAAACGCAGGCGGTCTCCTGCTGGCCGCGGTGTCCAGTGGCGTGGAAACAGGCTCGCTGAGGGACTGTGGTGAAGGGCGCGGGGAACCTAAGCTCAGGCTTGTGAACTCTGCGGATTCAAAGCAGCAGGGAAACCCTGAGCTCTGGGAATCCGTGCAGCTTTGCACATCAGGACGAGCGGGTACCGGCGCCGTGCTCCCTAGGCTAATCCTCTGCCTGCGGCACTGACACCCCGGCTTCTAGTCCCATCCCGGCCGCGAATTCTGTCCTGGTTGCCCCTCTTCCAGGCCCGCACTCTGCTGTGGCCAGGGAGTGCAGTGGAGGATGGCCCAGGTCCTTGGGCCCTGCACCCCATGGGAGACCAGGAGAAGCATCTGGCTCCTGCCTTCGGATCAGTGCAGTGCGCTGGCTGCAGTGGCCATTGGAGGGTGAACCAACGGCAAAGGAAGACCTTTCTCTCTCTCTCTCTCACTGTCCACTCTGCCTGTCAAAAAAAATTTTTTTTAATTTTTAAAAAAGACGAGTTGGAGGTAAAATCAAGCGCCAGAGTGAGTGGTCGGTCCTTTCACTGGCGCGAGGTGGAGCCAGTGGGGGCGGCGGGAGGCTGGAGGCTCTGGCACTCCCTCCCACGAGGCCCCCACTGCTACAGGACAAAGCCGCTCTCCCAGAGGGAGCTCCTGCCCCTGAGCCAGCGCCGGGCGCCTGGAGCCGCTTTTCCACTGCGGGACATGTTGGTCCCACCTCACCTCCCTGGCCACCCAAGGACGTTTTGTTTGATTTTTGTTTGTTCAGAAGCATAGAGAGAGCTAGCCCATATCTGCTCCCAGATACCCACAACAGGCAGGCCAGGCCAGGCCAAAGCCCAGAGCCAGGGGCTCAACCCAGGCCTCCCAGGTACACGGCAGGAACCTGGTTGCTTGAGCCGGCACCCCTGCCTCCCCGGATCTTCTCCGGCAGGAGGCTGGAGTCAGGTGTCGGGGCTGGAATCTCACCCAGGCACTCCCATGAGGGATGCAGGCGTCTTCACCACCAGGCTGCGCGCTGCCCACCGATGGTTTACTTTTCAGTTGGCAGAGCCTTGGCGGGAAAAGCGATTAAACTTGGAGCTGGAGTCATGGGTGTGAGCGTGAGTCCCACTGTGCGTGGGCTGCGTTAGGGTTACTCAGCTTCCTAAGCATTCCAAAATCAGTTTCCTACCCTGTTTTTAAAAATTGTGATACTTGGGGCCGGCATTTTGGCATAGCAGGTAAAGCCACACCTGTGACGCTGGCATCCCATGTGGGTGCCGGTTCCAGTCCCGGCTGCTCCACTTCTGACCCAGCTCCCTGCTAGTGCTTGGGCCCCTGCCACCCACATGGGAGACCCGGATGAAGCTCCTGGCTCCTGGCTTTGGCCTCGCCCAGCACTGGCCATTGTGGCCATCTGGGCAGTGAACAGCAGATGAAAGATCTCTCTCTCTCTCTCTCTCTCTCTCTCCTGAGATGCTCCCTTCTTCATTCTGACTTTAAAATAAATAAACCCTTAAAAATTATAATACTTTATAAAGTGATTGCTAAAACCAATGTTCTAAGCAGGTGCCCAGGTTTAGCACAGACTATTTGTCATCCGACATCGCGTCACCACACTTTCCAGACGTTTGAGAGCTGAAAGCGTTTCCCAGCGAATCGCAGACACCTGCGGCTGCGCGTCTGTGGTGCAGCTTTCCCTCCACCTGCCCCCCCTCCGGGCACAGCAACCCAGAGACGCAAACATCAGCTCGCTTGCATGCATCGTCGTTAGCAGGAGCCCAGCGCTTGGGGGTGGCTCCCTGTTTGTTTTTACAGTGAGACGCGTGGATCCTGTTCCAGGAAACACAACCTGCAAGCCAAGTCCCTGTCATCGCCCAGAACCTCCTCTCCTGATCCCTGCTCTCAATTCCTGCCCCACCCCCCAAGCGGCGGCTGCTTGGTCCTGGGTTAGCTTTGCTCCGGACGGGACACAGGAGTTGCACCATGCGACTGGAGATCGCACCTCGAGGAGGTTCCCGTGTGTTCACCGACAAGCACACCGCCAGATCTGTGCGTTGTGTGCTGTCTGTGGCTCCGGCGCTTCTAGGAAGGGTCGCCTCTGTAACTCAAGAGAAGATGAGAGAAGATGTGGTCACCTCGGTCATCATTTTGCGTCGGCAGTGCAGAGTTGCACCACCAGGGGGCAGCAGGCACCGCTCGTGGCCGCTGATGCCCGGCTTGGTGACAGGTTCACGAAAGCGCCGCTTGGGTCACAGAGGAGCCCGAAGCTCCCGCGAGCGCCTGCATTTAGATAGGGCGTCTACACTGGTCAGCTACTCGGGCACTGGAGGAATCCGGCTAGACCGTGATGACTCCGAGACTCCTGAGGCTGCCTGTTCTCAGTCTGGCGGGACGGCCTGTGTCTGAGGGCAGGGACTGCAGGCCGCAGAGCGGTTCCCAGCAACAGGGCCGACGGAGAGCCCTGCCGGGGAGAGGGCGGCTGGCTCCCTGCACCTCCACCTGCCCCCCCAGGTCTGATCCGGACCCCCAGCGGCATGTGAGGACGGGGAGCTGGGTGTGCCCTGCGGAGGGGGCGTAAGCTCCACGCCCAAGAGCGCGCAGGCGGGGAGACGCTGTGGGAGGCACAGAGGCCAGCTCCTGACACCTCTCTCTCGTTACAGTTTGCAGCGTTGTGGGAGCCCCGGAAAGGCCACGCCAGCAGCCCCCGACGGCAGAGGAGAGGACTAGAAGCCCAGAGCAGCTGCAGGCAGCGAAGGCAGTGAGTGCCGACAGAGCAGGGGCCTGGTGGCCTCCCGTGGCCGCCACACCCACCCGAAGGGGAGAGTCACGTGGCCGACAGCGTGGGCCCTGCGCCCCGTGTGCAATACGCCACGGTTTGGGTGTACAAGGGTGATTTTCGGGGCTGCTGGGGCAGCCATTGAGTATCAGCAACGCTTGGTAGCTGTTTTGGTTCTCAGAAACCGTCAGCGGGCAGTCAGCAGGCCCTGCCGCTCGCTGGTGGACACACAGCTCGCCCGAGGGGAAAGCTACTCCGGGAGCCTCAGCCTTGGGAAGCAGCAACCTCTGGGTCCAGGAGGAGCTCCTTCCCACCCAGCAAGCAGCCACCGGGTTCGTAAAGGGAGGGTGGGGTTAGGGAAGCAGCCAGTGCAGTCGCGGGATAAGGACGCGGACTCCCTGGTCGGTGCTGCCGGTGGTCGGGCGGAGGCGTCCTGACCTTGGCTCCCGGTGGCCTGCGCCTGGTGGCCCCTCCCCCTCCCAGCTGCCCGTGAGGTCTGCTTTGCCAGTCCCCTCCTCCCAGCAGTCTCCTGCACCTCCCATGCACACACCACCTTCCCCGGGCGACAGGAGAAGCGTGCGACGCTGCAGAGCCCCTTGGGAGCCTTGAGCCTGTTTCCTGTTACCACAGAACACCTGAAGTGGCTCGTGTGTACGGAACAGGTATTTGTTCTGGAAGCCGAGAAGTCGGGGTCAAGGAGCCGGCATAGGGGACGGCCTCGTGCTGTGCCGTCGCGTGGCGAGGGCATTGGCTGATGCCAGCAGAGGCTTCTCCGGGAGGGTCGTCACAACCGCAGCTCATCCCAGTGACTCCCAGACACCAGGGACACCTGGATCTGGGGCTAAGCACGGGGGGACGCAGGCCCCAGCAGGCCTGTGCGATCTTGAGTCCTGGACACGAGCTAACAGCCACAGGCAAGCAGAACCACCCGGGGATTCTCAGTCACAGAGGGAGGGTTTCCTGCAGTGCAAGCAGCCCCCATTGCTCCCCACACCTCTGCGGGCCCCCAGCTCTGCAGGCCCACCCGTGGCCACGCAACCCGGCTCGCTCCCTCCCTCCCAGCCACCCCTGCGGTGAGCCCGGCTTGCTCAGCTGAGGCAGCTCCCTGGGCCAGCACAGGCGGCCAATGTCGCAGGCCTCTGATGATCTCCGAGAAAGGCCTGGCTTGGGGGCGTGGTCCCCCTCCCCAGGCTACGGACCCTGGGACACACAGCTTCTAAAGCGGGTGGGTTACAGGCGGACCAGAATCCTGGACGAATGACGCCGAAGATAAAGCCGATTCCCGGTGGGTGCGAGGCCCTGGTGTCGACGCCATGTGATGCCCGCCTCCCCCATGGTAATGTCGTCGTTTGTTGACTACGTGTAGTTAAGAGCAGGAAGCATGGCAACAGTTAGCGCAGGTGCCCCCGCAGCACGCCCACGCCGGCGGCAGACCCAGGGTGGTCCCAGCAGGGAGGGTCCCCAGAGGGAAGGGAGCCTTCACAAATAGCACGCGCACGCGGGGGCTTGTTTGGGTCCGGCTTGCCGAGACGTTCTACGGAACGTTCTGTTCCCGTCCGAGCTGGGCCGAGGGGCGTGTTCCTGGTGTCCCCCGCCCCGTTCGGAGTTGCAGGCCGTGTTCCCTGGGAAGCACTGCCTGCCTTTCGTGTTTTGTCCTGGCCGTAGTGCAGCCTTGGAAATAAGACGGCACCGAGTTCTTAGAAATCGCGACCGCACAGTTGTTGCTCAGAGCTGATACTGGAAGCAGCGGTGACCCGCTGCAACACCCGGGCCTTGTGTCCATCACATCTCGGCCTGGTGCTGGGAGGCGCGCGGCTCACCCAGGAGAGGGGCGGGCTTCAGCAGGGGCCCATCTGCACTCCTCCTCGGGGCAGAGCTTGGCCACTTTAAAGGCGTCCCGGTGTCTGGAGGAAGCCAAGGCGGCCCTGCTAATGCCCGCTCCCGCCAGGCCAGCAGTGCCTCACGGCCTTGCCAACAGGTGCACGTCCACACACAGGCTCCAGGTGGCGGCCCTCTGCGTCTCCCTGGCGCCTGGTGACTGCCGACTCTTCTCACCAATGTGGCGGCCATCTACATCTTCCCTGGAGAACTGTCTTGCCTCGTCCTTTGCCCGTTTTCTTTCTTTCTCTTTTTTCTCTTTTTTTATTTTTTATTTTTATTTATTTTTAATAGAAAACTTTAGTAAATATAAATTTCAAAAGTACAACTTTTGGATGATAGCAGTTCTTCCCCCCATAACCACCCTCCCACCTGCAATCCATCCCACCTCCTACTCCCTGTCCCACTCCATTCTTCATTAAGATTCATTTTCAATTTCCTTTCTATACAGAAGATCATCTCTATACTGAGTAAAGATTTCAACAGTGTGCACCCACACAGACACACACAGTATAGAGTACTGTTTGAGTAGGAGTTGTACCGTTAATTCTCATAGTACAGCACATTAAGGACAGAGGTCCTACAAGGGGAGTAAGTGCACAGTGACTCCTGTTGTTGACTTAACAACTGACACTCTTGTTTATGACATCAGTAATCACCCGAGGCTCTGTCATGAGCTGCCAAGCCTTTTGAGTTCACGAACTCCGACCTTATTTAGACAAGGCCATAGTCAAAGTGGAAGTTCTCGCCTCCCTTCAGAGAAAGGCACCTCCTTCTTTGACGCTTTTGCTCATTTTTATATGAGATTTGTATGTCTTTCTTGGAGAACTGTCCTGCCTGGTCCTTTGCCCATTTCTAAGTGGATTGTCTTCGTGTTGATGTGTTGTGTTTCTTGTATACTGGCCCCTTCCCAGGTGCAGGTCTGCAGAAACGTCTCCCGTCCCATGCGGTCTCCTCACACCGTCCCTTGTTCCCTTACTATGCAGGTTTAGATGGACACAATCCACCTGTCTAATTAACTCGTCTCTCAGACTGATCAGGGGATTTTTCCCAGTACTTTCTTCAAGTGTTTTTTTTTTTTTAAACAGGTAGAGTCATAGACAGTGAGAGAGAGAGAGAGAGAGAGGTCTTCTTTCTGTTGGTTCACTCCCCAAACGGTGCTATAGTCAGAGCTACTCTGATCCAAAGCCAGGAGCCAGGTGCTTCTCCTGGTCTCCCATGCAGGCCCAAGCACTTCGGCCATCCTCCACTGCACTCCCGGGCCATAGCAGAGAGCTGGACTGGAAGAGAAGCAACCGGGACTAGAACCTGGCACCCATATGGGATGCCAGTGCTGCAGGCGGAGGATTAGCCAAGTGAGCCACGGCGCCGGCCCTCTTCAAGTGGTTTTACAATCACTTTTTTTTTTTTTTTTGACAGGCAGAGTGGACAGTGAGAGAGAGACAGAGAGAAAGGTCTTCCTTTGCCGTTGGTTCACCCTCCAATGGCTGCCGCGGCCGGCACACCACACTGATCTGAAGGCAGGAGCCAGGTGCTTCTCCTGGTCTCCCATGGGGTGCAGGGCCCAAGCACTTGGACCATCCTCCACTGCACTCCCTGACCACAGCAGAGAGCTGGCCTGGAAGAGGGGCAACCGGGACAGAATTCAGCGCCCCAACTGGGACTAGAACCCGGTGTGCTGGCGCCGCTAGACAGAGGATTAGCCTAGTGAGCCGCGGCGCTGGCCTTACAATCACTTCTATGTAAGCCTTTAACCCATTTTGAGTAGATTAATAAACATTCATTTATTTGAGAGGCAGCGAGAACAACAAAGAGAGAACATCCATCAGCTGGTTCTATCCCCAAATGCCCACAAAGGCCAACCCAGGGCCTGGGGAGGCAATCCAGCTGTTCCCGTGCGTAGGAGGAGCCAACGACTTCAGCCATCACCTGTTGCCTGCCAGGGTGCCTGTTGGCAGGAAGCTGGAGTCAGGAGCTGGAGCCAGTGAGACCACGTGGGACGTGGGCATCTTAACTGCCAGGCCGAACGCCCACCTTGAACTGACTTTTGTGCAGGCCGCGAGATAAGGCACCAGTTCCTTCTTATGCGTGTGGATATCCGGTTTTCCCAGCACCATTTATTGAAGAAAACACACTTTCCCCGACGTGCATTCTTGGAATCCGTCAAAAGTCAGCGGACTGAAATGTGTGCATCCATTTCTGTTCCGTCAGTCTCTGTCTTTGCAAGGCCGGCACCACACTGTTTTGGTTGTCGTAGCTGTGCGGTGGGTTTCGGAATCAGGCGGTGAGATGCCGCCGGTTCTGTTCTCTTTGCTCTAGATTGCTTATCTGCTCAGTCGTTTATGGTTCCATGTGAATTTCAGGACTCTTATTTTATTTCTGTGGGAAAATGTCCCTGTCCTGAGGCTTTGGTGGAGATTGCTCTGACTCTGCAGGCTGCCTTGGCTTAGACAGTTTGACGACGTTGCGTTTTCCAAGCCAGCAATGAAAGGCTGTATTTATTTGTGCCAGCGTCAATCTCTTTCATCCGTGTTCTGCGGTTTGCAGGGTATAAATGTTCCGCCTTCTTTCTTAAATCTATTCCCAGCCATTTGATTGATTGATTTTTGTAGCTGTTACACGTGGGATGGTTCCCTTGATTTCTGTCTGGCCTCTTCGTCATTGGTCGACAGAAACGCTGCTGAGTGTGGGTGCTGAGTCTGCATCCTTCGGTGTCACCTGACTCATTCGTCCCAGCAGTGGCTGTTGGCACATTGAGGGTTTTCTGTCTACACAGCCGTGTGGTCGGTGAACAGACAATGCACCTCTCTCCTCGGGACGACTTCCCCTTCCTTTTCTCGCCTGATCCCTCTGGCTGGGAGGTCGAGCGCTAGTGAAAGTAAAGCGCTAAGAGTAGGAGTACGTATCGCCCAGCAGTCCCACTGCCCGGTGACGTCCAGGGACGGGAACCGCGTATCTCAGTGAGATGCGTGCACTGTGCTCACTGCAGCTGATACGGGACCAAGCTCCACGCTCACGGGCAGACAAGTGGACAAGTAGAATGCGTGAGACACCCACAATGAAGCGCCACTCAGCTTTGAAAGAGGGGCGGGGGCGGGGTGGAGGACACCGTGCTGGGGACATAAGCCAGGCACAGGAGGAGAAACCCTTCCCGTCTCCACAGAACAGGGGCTGCCAGGGTCGGCGCACGGGTGCACGGGCGCCCTGGGACAGCCTCGGGCAGAGGAAGTGAGAGTCAGCGAGGCAGGAGGAAGGGCTCAGGGACCCCCCCATGCAGCACAGCGACCGTGGCAACAGCACCACGTCGGATACGCAAAGCTTGTTCAGAGTGGGTTTCTAACAGGCTCACCCCAGAAAGTGTGAGTGTCCATCAGCTTCTAGTTACTGCAGCAGAACACCTGAGACAACCACGTTTGTGCAGAGGGGAAGCTTACTGAGGTCCACACCATCACTGGCCACAAGTGGGAGAGGCCCAGAGGAGTGCCAGGACCAGCCCTGGGTCCAGTGTCAGCCACGTGGCCTTCCCTGAGCACGGCAGGGCTGGGGTGGGGGCAGGCGTGGACACTCCCCGAACAGGCGTGGTTGCACTTGAACCTTCCGCTGCCAATACCAAAGTCAGCACATTAACTAATAAAATTGCACACGTGTCTCCCTGACCAAACTCAGGATATTTGTGTTTGCAAGGTCACCACAGAACGGAGCCGTGAGCACAGTCACCGGGTGAAGCAGATTTGACTGTTCCTCATGAGCCACTCAGTTTCCCATGTGTGTCTGCTACTTATCTGTCCAGCCACCTAAGTCTCATGGGGCTCCATGACAGCGGGGGGCGGGGGGGGGGCCTGGGGAGCACTGATGGCCCAGCCTCTCCCTGGACCAGGGCACAGCAAAGAGCCCCAGGTTTGGCAGGGCCTGGAAGGGCATCTCTCCTCACTGGCCAGGGCTGCTGATCTGGGCAGCTGGGGGCAGCTGCTGGGGACCCAGGCTCCCTGGGCGAGGCGGGGGTGGCCTGCAGTTCCCAGGAGCGACCACTAGATGGTGGTGGTTCCCCATGATTCCCCAGAGACCGTGTTCCCTGGGGAGACCTGGGTGGTGGCTGCATTGCCAGGCACTGCTCATCTTATCTCAGAGGAATGTGCCGGTCCTGGTGTCTGGTGTCCACGTTCTGACAAGATCGCTGCGTGCTGCCGGCTCCCAGGGGGGCCTGCCCCTCGCAGCCCCACGCACAGGCACCGGTCCAAGCTGGATGCTGTGTCTAGGCCTTGCTGTGGAACAGTGCTGCTCTC